ATTTCAGGAATTGCATTCCAAACATTATGAGGGACATCCTTAATTAATGGATATATATCCATCAGAATAAGGGAGATTTAGAGATCATTTAATGAGATGTATCATCTCAAACGCTCCTGATCACCTCCTAAAATACCCAGTAAAACTGAGTTCCAACACATACCTTAGCAGTGATGCCTGGAAATTAAAGGTACGACTCAGAAGTTTGAAATGTAGGCTGTAGTGGCCCGTAGTCTGACTACGATTTAAACACGAATAAATATTCCATGAACATAAATCTTCAGCTTAATTCCTTACATTACACCTAGGCTAACCCCGCTTGACCACCGGTTCTCATAAGGAGCCGAATACGATTTGGGTTGGACGAATATGCTTCAGACATTCGTCTACTCATACAGGAAAGCGATGCAAGTCAAAGAAGACTTTCCTACAAACTTCCTTTTACTACTCATTACGAGCCCTAATATAACCCAAAATAAATCATGCACAGTGTGACAAAGATACAGGTATTGGATAAAATCATGAGTAACAGACATATGTACAAGTATGCACAAAGCGCATAAGCATAGAATTACAAGTGTATGAATATAGCATATACTTGCTGACAATCACAATTTTCTGTACAAAGAATAGAGTTACTATTAAGGTAAAGAGGACTCAGTAGTCACCTGTTTTCCGAGTTATTAAGGTCTGTCCAAAAGATAGGATGAATCATGTATGCAAGAGTACTATACGCTACAAGGCACACATAACCCTTACGTATATTCAAGTATCGGAACCTATTATCGGTTTATGTAGCCCTATTAAATTTTTACGAAACCTTCAAGAGGATTCAAGGTAAAGAAGGTCGTTTAACAATAACTTCATCCATTCCGCACACAACAATTTCAGAATTCTTTTACATATCCTGTTTGTGTCACCGTTGTAGTTGATTTTCAAGATGGCTAGCTCTGCTCATAAATGTAGACAACCTTATTGCTCATTCCCCATAGAGGAAAGGATGCAATGTGATGAGTGTAATAAGTGGTTCCATAAGATGTGCACCCGATTAAGCCTCACTGCATATAAAAGGTGCTCAAAGCCCAACTCTCTTTGGCTTTGTAGTTTTTGTTGCTCGAGCAAAACCTTACTCATCCAAGAAGCAATTAGCCTCCTGATGTTGGTTAATAAGAAGGTTGATGAGGGCCGTACTGATAACACTGGTACAGATGGCGAAGATTGCGTTGGTGTCGTAAGTGCTGTCACGGCGCAAGCCAGACATCTACCTGTGCAACCTGCAGTCAAACGTTCTCCCCTTAAACGATCAGTGAGTGGCACCTCACTAGACGTTGGTGGCCACATAACTACAGCTGCGACTAGTGATCCAGATAAGACAATTACTGTCCCGAGTTGTTTTAATGTAGGTGTTTCGAGTGATGGAAAATGGATGACGCGAAAATGCAGAAGAGTAGGAAAGACAGCTAAAACTAATGACTGTTTACTTGATAAGTCCTTGGTGGACTCTCAGACCAATCCGCCAAAGTCCCAAAGTAAAGCTTCACCTAACATTGTTGTGAGTCACTCGCTTGACCCACAGGACTCTGTTACAACAAAAACTAGTCGTAAGATACCAGTAGTTAATACACAGGATCTAACGTCTCGGTTGAAAGCTTTGAACACAGTTTCAAAAAAAAGCTAAACCCTTCCCTAGTTTAATTATTTGGAATCTAGAGGAGTCGAAAGACAACGACCCTGCTAGAAGATATGCACATGACTTGCAGTTAGTGGAGTCTGTGGTAAGAAGCGTACTACATGAAGAGGTTTCAGGAGTACATATTACAAAAGTAATACGACTTGGTAAACGGGTTGGAGGCAAGACCCAACCGAGAAGAATCCTGAAGCTGGTTCTCGGGAGTTTTGAATAAAGAGACATATTATTGAAAAACGCATTAACAACTCGTGACAAATATCTGTATTCGACCAGATTGGCCGCTTGAGGATCGAATCAAGTGGGAGAATGCTCTTACGGAGTTGAGGACTCGTAAATTAAATGGCGAAAATAACCTTACCATTAAGGGTTTTCGGGTAGTCAGGTCTTGGAAGCCAATGCTTCCGAGGCCTGTATGGGTGGAACGATTGATTGCCAAAACACCTTAAACGTGTGCTACACGAACGTTCGTAGTCTTAGAACTAAAACGTCCGAGCTAAGTCTGATGGTGGAAGAATCATGTCCCGATATAATCGTTGTTACAGAAACTTGGTTCACAGTAGATATAGACTGTTCTCCGTTCATTGCAGGCTATATCTGTATTAGAAGTGATAGAGTTTCAATTCGCAAAGGGGGAGGTATAATATTATACGTTAAGGATCACTTTCGTGTGCAATCAACCATATCAGAGGCTCATATCAGTGGCACATGTGAGGTTGCATGTTGTAAGATTAAATCTAGAAATGGGTTAGTGACTATAGGGGGAATATACCGTAGTCCGTCTTGTCTTGCTGACGACTTTATCCTAAGACACATCTGTTCTTGGAGTATGGCAGAATGTTGTCTCATCATTGGGGACTTCAACACACCGCATATCAACTGGATAGAGCTTACAGCTCCGGGTAGTGGTTTCGATAGCGACCTTTTATCTACCGTTATCCAGTGTGCACTTGTATAATGCATCACAAAACCGACACATATTGATTTGCAACATGATCCGTCACTGCTGGACCTCGCCCTTACCCACCACTGTGAGGATGTCTTTGATATCCAGCACCTTGCCCCACTAGTGAAAAGTGATCGCGTTGTAATTCACTTTAAGTTTGGGAAACATGGTATACAATTCGTATCTGCTCCACCCCGTCCCACTATCCGGTGAGCCAACATCCCGGCAGTCAGAAACTGTGCGATCTCGACTGGTTGGTCGGTCGACGCGGATGGATTGATCGAAGATGAATGGAATAAGTTTAAGGCTACATTCGAGTCCGTAACGTTTCCGTTTATCCTATGGTCAGCACATAAGCCATCACATTGCCCTCCATGGATTAATAAGGAATTCCGGAAGCTGTTAAAGCGTAGGAAACATTTCTGAGACTTATTCTTGTTGACAGGTCATGCACCATTTAAGCGTGAGTACCAAAAATTCCGTAATATCTGTAAGAAAACCATAGCCAAATCCCGTACCACTTACGAACGACAGTTAGTATATGATAGCCGTACTTGTCCGAAACGATTGTTTTCGTATGTTAAACGGCAAATAAAACGTAGTGATGGTATTCCCCCGTTACTGTTACACGAAAATTCAGATTTACTAGCTGAATCAGATCGAGCATAAGCTGAGTATTTTTCAAACTATTTTAGCGAAGTCTACTCTACGTTTGTTGTAACAAATACTTTTCCCACTCACACCGAGATACTAGCAATTGAATTTGTACAGGTGACTGAAGAAACTGTCCTTCCGTTGATAACTAACCTCAAACCTGGTAGGACACCGGGCCCTGACGGGTTACATCTACGGTTGCTGTCATCTCTTGCGGACATTATTTCCAAACCGCTCGCGACACTCTTCAACATGTCCCTTTCACTCGCTCAACTCCCTAGAGATTGGAAGGACGCTATAGTCAGTCCTATATTTAAGGACGGTCAGAGACAGGTCATATCTAACTACCGGCCTGTCAGTCTAACTAGCATAGTGGTTAAGTTACTTGAAAAAAGAAGTCGCGTTAGGTTGCTAAGACACATAGATTTACAAAATCTGTTAGCTCCTGAGCAACACGGATTTCGTAACAAGCGTTCATGCTTGACTAACTTATTACGACAGAGGATTGGACAGCAGCCCTAGATAACGGTCGGTCTGTCGATGTGATGTTCATAGATCTTAGCAAAGCATTTGACAAGGTTTCACATGTAGGTCTTATGCAGAAGCTCACGAGCTTCGGAATAATAGGTACTGTACATGAGTGCATAGGAAAATTTTTATGTGACTGCGGACAGAGAGTGAGAGTCAACGGAACGCTATCTGATTGGAAGCCGGTCAAAAGTGTTGTACCCCAAGGCATCATCTTAGGCCCTCTGTTCTTCCTTCTCTACGTTAATGAGTTACCGCTGTTACTTAGGTCGTCGACATTGTTGTTTGCGGATAATGTAAAAATCTGGAGAACAATAAAAAGTGAGGCTGATCATGTGGATCTTCTAGCTTACTTAGACGATTTAGTTAGATGGGCTCGAGAGGGGCTTAGAAGTCAATGCTAGGAATAGTGTACTAATGCACATCGGTCACGATAATAGTTACCGTTACACTATTGAGGGTAAACCTCTTCTTTGCGTTCAAGAGCATAAAGACTTAAGAGTAGTCTTAAGTCATGATTTAAAAACAACTACGCATTGCAAAGCAGCCGCTGTTAAAGGTTTTCGTGCGTTATGGTCACTTCGCCGAGCGTTCAAATCTTTTGAAGATGAGATTTTTCGAATTTTATATCCCACCTACATAAGACCACATTTAGAGTACTGTATCCAAGCAGCTAGCCCGTGTCTGGTAAAGGATACTAACCCACTTGAGCGTGTCCAGCGTGTGGGATCGAAGTTAGTGAAGGGTCTTTCTAAACTCTCTTACGATGAGCATTTAAAACGCCTAAACCTTTTCCCCTTGTCGTATCGTAGGACGCGACGTGACCTTGTACTGGCATTTCGTATCTTTAATTATGATTTGGGTGTTAATATGTCTTATCTTTTTGCTCCCTCCAGCGCTAATAATCTCCGACTTCATAGCAAGAAGGTTCATAAACCACGATCTAATAAACTTAAAGTGGGATCCCGTTTTTCTCATCGAGTAGTCAATGATTGGAACGCCTTACCCGAACAAGTGGTATCAGCCCCATCAGTGAATATTTTCAAGGAGAAGCTGGACCTTCACTGGAAATCAATGTGTCAGGATTAATACAGGTTCACTAACCTACTATCCTTATTACTGAAGACTGAACTGCTCGGATATTGGGTCATTCAAAGCGCTTCATATATACTGTTACGGTACGTTATGGAAATAAGCTCACAAAGATCCCAAACAGCTAGCCATATTGTAGACCAGATAAAAAGCCAAGGATTATTTGACAAAATTAGAAAGCAATGTCTTGAAGATGTTGACGTAAACTTAGACTACCAAGTTCTCCAAAAGAAGGTGAATTCTTTTGTTTCATCATTTCTCCAAAATCAGTCATGGAATCCTGGAGTTGAGAAGTTAAAGTTAAGGGAACAGCTACGGACTAAACTCTTAAGTACCAAAATGTTGTCTTGTGGAGTTGACAAACTCGTTAATCAGGCACTTAATGCTAAAATGCCTAAAAATTTCAAGAATCAAGTTCAGAATATTGTTTGCGATTACTTTGACTTAAACCCCGAGTCAATATTAGCTAGTAGCCTAGGTAACCAAAATTGTGCTGAAATAAGACCTGCAATATACCCTGAAAATCCAACAGGACCATATCCTTCCGATTCGTATGACCGAGCTTATGGTTCTGTAATGAGTAATCCTGTGACCATACCCACACCTCAAGGCATTCAACCACCGTTTCCATATCCCTACCCCCCAGTTCCTGTTCAGCATTCAGTTATTCAGGCGAGTGTTCCATGTCCAATCACTGCTTATGTGGGACCAAGTGCAAATTATTTGATTCCACCGCCGCCTCCTCCTCCAAGTGTCTTTTGTCAGCCACTTGTCCATTTTAACAACCAGTCATCAGTTCCACCACAAAACTTCCAAACTCCAGCGAATAACACTGTTTCTCCTTCAGCTACTCATTCGGATATAGAACACGTGAGTTAACGTATTTTTTACAACTTTGTTCTCTGTAAGTTTGAAGTTCACTAACGGTTTTTATAATCTGTTGCTGCTGAAATTATTTTGTTATAATAAATTTTCACAGACTTTCTGATGTCATCGTAGATCATCTTAATGTGGTGGTCCACCTTTGTTTTCATGCAGGTTGCCTTGCCAAGTTATTTTCTGATTAATGTCCTATAAATGTGATGTATTGGTGTAAAACAATGTCCCCTATTGGATGTAAAACAAATTTACAACAGGCTTCATTCATTCACACTGTCTACCGACTCATGTGATGTTAGACTCAATATTTTCGTCAATTAGTACGGTTTCTTAATATCAGAACCTTCGATTCGTTGGACAGAAACATGATCTAAAGGTCTGTTGAAAGAGAATGTTACTGGAAAGCTCATTAACATCTTGATGATTCTACTCAAACGCTTCAGGCAGAGTGAGAGCCACTGAGTCAACTATGTTTGTTTCAGTCCGACAGGGGTTAGATTGGGTTATCCACTCACTATTTCTCTCGAACTTTGCCATCGATGATACCGGAAACGGATCTAAATGTAAGAAGTGATATAAAGCTGTTATTTATGGAAATGATTTTTGATCATGAGTATGCGGATGGTATTGTTTTCTGTGTGATGATATTCAAGCTATATAATTTACACAATCGGTTTGTAATTATTATATCGACATTTCACGTACTTTGAATTTAAAAGGCCCAATGTACTTCTACAAGACTATCAGGAGCTTGTATCTGTACTTAGTCTATGGTGGGCTGTTAGGAGGAACTGAAGGGTTCCTGTATCTGGGTGGTTTTCTGACTGGTGTTGGTGATGTAACTGATGAGACCAATCTATGTATGATGATAGCCAGGGCTGCTTATGCCATTATGGGCTATCTTTGGAACTGTCGTGATGTTCATCTCCCATTCAAAGGTCGAGTCTGCAACATGCCAGTGAGGGGAGTTTAGTCCTGTATTTGTTACCTGGCTTCCGAGTTGAGGATGGTCGGTGACTACCCGTTGTTTCTGATATCGAATGGGAACACGGCGAAACTCTAATTTATGGACGACCTTTGAACGAATCTTAAGCGACCTTGAGAAATATTAGCAAATCAGCAAACAGCCAGTATAGAGTAAAAATGTTATACAAAACCAAGGAAATAAAGTGTATACACTTCTTATACGTGGTTCAAAAATTTGTCAAGGCTAGAAAGAGGTTCAGAGGTTCTAAAATCGTAATGCATGCAGTAGAGGAAATCATCCATACGGCTACAGAATAGTCGGCCTATGATGCCATGATAAAGTCTCAAAAACTTCAGCCTCGACCACTTAGCTTCAACATTGTTTATGTGCACTCCGGTCGTTGAGTGCACAAAATGCGACTTGTAGATAACGACATGATGCACACAACCAAGCCTATGTAGGAGTCTGTAAGCTCTCCAAACATCCGTATATATTGTAGTACCTGGCTGTAGCTAGTGTTACTGGTGCTTTTATTATCCAGTTCGCAATAATTGTCGTAATTGGTCTTAGGAATTATTTATGGGGTTTTCATCACGAACTGACATCAGCTATAATGCCAGAAATTTATTTAGCCAAATAGATGAAAGGCTTTCGCGTTAAAATTCGAGATTTGTTGTTTTATGACTGATTCGTTCGTCCACAAATTATAGTCTCGCAGTTTAATTTGTTATAGCCGCTCAATTATCACGTTTTGTAAAAAAATTCCCTGTGAACCGATCGTACGTTCGCACTAAGCACTGAAGTTGGCGCCGTATCCTTGAAATCTCTAAAACGCCTCTGATTGGTTCGTCCATAAATTGGAGTCTCGCCTGGGAACACCATACGAGTAATGGAGCGCAGTAACGATAATTCACTTGGTGTCACAATCTTGGAACACTATCCTCCATGGATTTTAGATACCTAATGAATGTTACACCAGCGGCTTTCTTATTGTGCACAAATTTCAGATTCTGAGACGGGGTTGAAAAACAAAGAGGTGATCAGTTTGTCATTTTACATCGTGGCGTAAAAGCAAGCAGGGTGAAACTGTCTTATAGATTCATTGCAAATCCCCGGTTGGGATCCGATGAATAATGTTATTTATTGATGTCAGAAATGACTCAGAATAAAAGCCAGTGACGATTCTCTTGTAGTTCTATCTTACATTCGCCATAAAAGTGAGAGCTTCCTTAACTTAAAAAAAACTTTTGTTGCAATTTTGATTGGACTGTTGTTATGTGCTATTCTTGTTTACGTATTTATTTGCTGAACTCTAATTTGCTTTATTTTACAATGTACCACTTATTTGTGCGGCCCATACATTTTTGGTGCCCATTTGTACCAACATGTATATGTATTGAGTAGATTAATTAATTAATATAGATAAACTTAAACATTAGTCCGTTATGCAAGTATTTAATTTTATTTGCGTCCATTGCTTTCGGATCGCCGAATCCTAGTGTTTCACTTAATAGTTGAGCGGCTTGAGGCGGTAGAATTTTTAGGACTAAGATTAATACTTCTTATCTCACTAGTATGGATAAATCCCAAGGTATTTAATAAGCGTAATGAAATCCCCTAGGAAGGCTGAAGGTTTAATAATTCCTAAAACTTTTAGTTTGGGGTTGTGGAGGCCGTTTAAATCATGAACCGATAAATGTTTGACCACCATTGAAAACCTGGCAGCACTGGTTGACCACTTCGTCCTAGTATAGGACTTCTCAACAGTAGGCATCCACGCATCCACCGTTGACCTTTAGACCATTGAGCCGGGATCCAACGGCGTTAATGTCTAACTCCAACCAGTCCACGATGTCGCGTGACCACCTTCCATTTTCTCTGGTGGGTGATCGCCCCACACTCGACGCTATTGAATTTCGGTGGTCACAGCTTCTCATTAGAACCTCAAGAATTTCCTCTCGGCATTATTTACTAGTGAGCATATAATAATTTCCGGTTTGGGTTGTGGAGATTGTGGTCTAATACTGTTCGGTTCATAATTTCTATGAAATTCCTAAAACGTAGGTTTTGTCATATTAGTGGTCCGGTGTTTTTACCATGCTTAATATTCACTTTCGGTCTTCTATTCAGTTTTACGTCAGGGTTATTCCTGAAAAATTTACAAATGGAAGACTTAAAATACTTGGACTCATTATCTTTGACTGCCACATCTTTATACACTGTGTTAACATTCAAGCTCAAAATAGTTGTTCATTTATGCGTACTCACTCGTCTTACCACTTTATCTTTTTATTTGATAATCCTCCTTAATTGCACTAACACATACATATTCTGTATGTAGGGTAATTCCTACATTTTCTGACTTAGCCTTTGGTACTTCGTTCTATTCACTAATATTTTAAAGTAGCAGGTGATATTGGTGCGCATTTATGATAGGTAAATTTGGACATGTTAGCGGGACATAGACTGGATTAAAGCATGCTCAATGCATGATTGCTTTGGTGCACGCTGATTGGCTAATTCTTATCCAATCAGCACTAGTCGATAGTTGGAGAATACTCTGGAATCTTCTCATGTAAAAACTATAAATATACTGACGTTTTCCCTATTGTACTTCTTACTTGCATCTTACTTCCATCTAACCTTGTTACTTGGAATATAATCTCTTTCCTGTTCAACCGTGTTCTGATTTGGGGACTTGTCGAGTGATTGGTGTCCAAGAATATTAAGCGATAGGTATTCGATATCAGTGTCTAAATTTGGTGAAACCCGAAGCCGATGAATATGGTGTTATAGCAGACATCGTCAACAGAGAATGTGAACGGTTCAAGTTACGCTCGTTGGCAGATGACCAATTTAAATGCTTAATATTCATCAAAGCTCTTCAGTCACCACAAGATACTGAGATCAGGACAAGACTTTTGGCTTGACTGGATCAAGACCCAAACGTCACACTCAGAACATTGACAGATGAGTGTAAGCGTCTACAAAGCATCAGACACGACAACGAGTTGATTGAACAAACAAATCCTAATTTAACCTTCAGTAGTGTCAATGCTATTACTAGATTAAAAGTTCAGAAGCCGATAAAAACTCATAACAAACCAACGACTGCATGCTGGTTATGTGGTGAGTGGCATTATGTACGATTCTGTCCATTTAAGAAGCATAGATGCCAGGTGTGCAACAAACGTGGACATAAAGAAGGTCACTGTGCACCGAATCGTACGTCTCGGCCCAAGAAGATGCCACATAATACCTTTCGTTTCCTTTGGTATTTTTACTTAATTTCTACTACTCTTGGTAAAATTATGTTTTCATCTTCGCTTTTCTTCTAGTAAATTTCCTGTTTCTTCAGTGCTGCAAATCGCGGGAATGCGTATGTTTACTGAGCTCTTATGTTCCAATACTTGAAAAAATATTTAAATCTTCCCATGAAGTATAATATATGACTGATATAATTCGTTTGATTGGTTAGCCATATACTCGTTCATTGCGCCTAATAAATATTATTAAGTATCGAAAAGAACAATAAACCGGTAATAAAGCATCAATTCCAATAGATTTATGGGTTTCTTATTGTCATGTAGTAGGTGTTTATCGTATCCAAAAACCCTAATGAAACGGGACGATAAAATTCGCCAGATCAGTGGTTTTTGGCAAATAGTATGCTTTACTGGTAACTTTATTTTAAGTTTCATACTATTTGTGTAGTTTGTAAGATAGTAGTCATTCCATCCCATGTGATTAAAACTCTTTAGATTTGTTAATAATAATCCGGATGATAGTCTAAAATTCTAAATTTAATTGTTGCTTGACTGTGGTCGCTATGTCGACATCAAAACGCGAAATATAACTCAAATGTTTTTCAGGTTAGAACACAACCCCTAGAAGTTACAGTAGAAGAATCAGTACCATGCGATGATCCTATGGATATAGGTAAGTGAATCAATTAAATATGTAAATTTGTTTCTACATGTGTTTCTAAGCTACGTAAAATCATTTTTTACAGTCCATAAATACTCTATAGTTGAAAGTCTCGTCTGTTTGTTGAATGCCCAGGTACGGTCGCGGGTGGAGAGAGTCAGCTCTCCCTCACAAAATACTCTCACATCGCCACGTGCATACAACCACTGTCAGGGTAGTCCTACTCACTGCTTTCTCGTGGCAGGGGTGTTGTTTACAAAATTGAGAGGACGAAAAGCAAGGGACCGGTGCTTTAACGGGGTTGGTCGACACAGAGGATTCACCTAGCGGAGTTGGGGAACCTTGATTCTAAACCGATTGTGCACATGGACTCCAGGATCCTGAAGGAAAAATGACGTATAAACCAATTGTTGGTTACCGGCTACTATGGGACTGCATCTCCTTACGTTGCTTGACTGCCTTGTGGATCAGAACTTTAGGTCGAAGGCTCAGGGTGTAGGCCCCTAAGAAAACCACCTGCTTCGGTTTGCGTACTTGGGCAGTATTCCATCCATCACACAAATCGAATGATTTATATGGCACATATCTGTTTAGTGCCTGCTTGTACCAACGTTTGTGTGTTTAAATAATAATAATGAAGTTTGTTTGTTGAATAAATTTGACTCTTCAAAACCACATCAGTCTTTCATGTGAAGAGAACGACCAGCTTCCTTCCTTAGATATACTTATAAGTAGACGAGAAGACGGTTCGATCCAGCGATCCATTTTAGAAAGCCAGTTGGCACAGGCCAATACTTTAGTTATTATACTTACTACTCAGTGCAATACAAACGGGGTTTGATAAGAGATCTGTTTTGCAGGATTAAGTGTATTTGCACAAACAACACTATTGATGAATACCTTAGGTTGTTGAACAGAACATTAATGGAAAGTGGTTGTCCTCTAAAATTCATAAATCGATGGAAAGGCCATGGTATAGTAAGATCTACTATAGCTTTGGCACAAAAAACTGTCTATATCACCTTATCGTTTAGAGGTGATTCAAATTAGTCTTTTATTTCAGCAAAGGCTTAAATCAGTTGTAAATAAGACCTACTACGCAGCAAAGAACATTATCAAAGGAAAAAGAAGGTCCATACTTTACCAAAGACCTAAAAGGAATGAAAACGATTGCGTCACATCCCATTGTGTTTATTAATTTAAATTTGTGTATGGCCATACATACATAGAAAGCAGTATTCTTGATATCCAAATCAGGGTGTCTGAACATGTACCTAAATGGCTGCAAAAACAAGTAAAATCAAATGACCCAATAAGAGTAGATGATAAAAGTCTATCATCCTTTGTTGACAAACACGTATTTGAAACAGGTCATAATATTGATCTTAATACAGCTTTTGTTGTGTTGTACAAAAGTGTTAAAGGGCCTATACTAAGGTTTATTGAAACCTTAGCCGTACGGAAATCCAAACCTTTATGTATTCAAGAACAGTTTGTTCTCACCTTAAACATAGCCTGGTAATATTAGCTTATTATTCAGCCTGATGAATATTCGGTTTGAGAAAACATCATGTTTCACTTAAACAGACGATTTTCACACCTAAACAATAACGGCTATCCAGTCAGTCAGCTACAACGTAGAATCAGGCACATATATGCATCAGTCGAAGTTGCCATACCTCATTAACACAACAAGATAAACACCAAATTCCTAGAGGGAGTTACTTCAATTTATTTATTTGAATACATAAATATTGGTACAAATGGGAACCAAATACATATGGGGCACATAATAATAATGAGAATGTGAAGAGATAGAGAATGTAAAGTGCGTATAATATATAAAAAAATATTGCACATAAGGATATGATATAGGGAGAAAGAATTAGTTCATACAAAAAAGGTATAAAGTAATTTTAGCCTTATGGTTTAAGGGAAGACAAAGAGTGTTTACATCTACGCCATTGGTGAATATGTGGTCGATGCAGCCACAACCAGGTTTGAAGCCAGCCTGGTTTTCTTGTGTTTGCAAGTTCACGAGTCTTTGTTATGCACCCGATAATTATTGAGGCTAGTATTTTAAATGCTATTTTATTCGGGTCGCCAGATAAACAGAGGGTGTATCTTATCGGCTCCCCGTTTTGGCTAGGTGAAGTCAAGTGAATGACCACATTAGGATCCTGTATGTGTGTTTCAGAGACACAGCATACATCAATGGTACAAAATTCTAGGGTCTTAGCCAAGGTGGCTGTTGTGGACGGGGAAATAAGAAGCTCAGACAACTATGAAAGCTATTTTCTTGGGACGTTGTTTCATTTCATTCAAACCTTGTAAAACACTTATATTTATTTTTGTCCCTATTTTATTCTACATAACATGAGTTTACGTTCTATGTAACATTCGCTGCCATACCCTTTTTTGTTCCGAAAATATTGTAATTTAAACATAATATTTTGCATCTTATTTTCTACCCTAATTCCCAATTTCGGGCATAATTGTATTTTTCCAAATTATCGTAGGTTGTGGTCAGGATATTCACTTATTTATTCATGTACATTTTTTCACTAATCCAAATTCAGAGAATTCACAATTCAGAGTGTTCCAACTGTCTTGTCTTCTCTCACTTGTGTGCTTGCCAATCAGGTTCTAGAATAGTTCTCTCTCTACCCCATCTCGAACTCGCGCGTACTAGACTCGAGGTTAAGCCGCTCAGTCTATCGCGCCAAGGTTATAATCTAGACTATACAGATCAAGGTCAAGTCATAACAAAGTATCGACGGGGTAAAAGCGATTCAAGGTCATAACAATGGCCTGCTGGCCGATTTGACATAGGGTACGTACGTTGAAGGCTCCAACGTGTAGTATGGAGCGAGGTTTCAATAAACCTGAAAGTGTTTCGCGCGTTAGAATCGTTGACCGTAGTGACACTTGAGGGGGAGTTTAGAGTTGATAGTCGAGGTAGGAGGAGTAATAGGAAATCAAGAGGTGAATTAATTATGAATACAGTGGTCTCGAGTGTTGTGAGAATTATGAGGGTGGTTACCAATTCCCAGTTGCCCACACCGTGGAAGTATTTATCTAGAGGTACCTGGAAAGGAAATTGGGTTAGAGTTGGTTTTAGTGACCTGAGTGTGACCACAGTGCCAAAGGGACAACTGCTTGAGGTCAGTCACACACGACCTTACTGATCAAGTTTCGTGCTAGCTCCGTACTTGTTGGGACTTTACCGCCGGGGACGAAAACCCGTGGGATAAGGGGTGTGTGTTTTCAGTGTCGACCATTTTCAATCCCATCCTTCCTTTGTGGGAAGGCAGCATTACTATTATGCTGGTTTTTTAGGAATATATCTTACTGCTGTCACAACTCTGTACAGTCAACAGTACGACTTCGCCCTCGAACCTTGGGTTTGTTGCTTTTAGTCTTACCGTTCTTCAACCGACCTGTCTGGCATGGTAGGACCTTGAAGAACGATTGTTACAGCCAGTATATCCCGACTAGTTCATCACGATAGGAAAGCCGGACCACCACGTCAAGGTATCACCACCTTTTCCACTGCTATAGAGTGATATATAGCTGGTTGGCGTGCAGTGTAATTTTACTTTAGCTTCCAAACGGATATCATTTTTGCACAGCATGAAACGCAAGTATGGAGAATCTAACCAAACTTTTCTTATTATGTGGCGAGATTTCATCAGAAACCAACTCACTAGGTCTACTAAATATGTGCAAATATATATGCCGTCATGTAGTCGAATACTGCTTTTAATTCATGGAATATAGTTATTATTAAACGTCGGCAAATATATCTACCTTCCAAAACGATGAGGTGAGACGTTTTTGTGTGTCACCCTTTTTTTCCGAAGCTTTCTGCCCTCGAGGTTCAGTTAGATGCTGAGTGATTAGGGAACCTAATATCTCAGAAATTATGAGATAGTCAAGATTTGTAGCTCAGGTAGATGGTTTTGGTGGAGTTTTGCTTTTTGAGTTGGACGGTTAATTCTTGAGTCAGTCAGTCAGTCAGTAACAACGTAGAACTTCGTACGTACGTACATCAGTTCGAGTTGCCACACCACATTAGCACAGAGATGCAGTGGTCGATTCAAATCCCGTAGTGGTAGAGGTAGCAAGAGTATAAGCAGTAATCGGGAAGATTAGGGTTTGGAGATGTTATTTAAAGAGTATAATCCAGTGAAAGAAATTTGGAAAGAGGGAAAAAGGGACATGAAGAATTCAGAAGATTAGTTTGGGAGAACACAGAGAGTGGATGCACCTGCGCCATTGCCAACGATTTTGAGCCATGTCATTCAGGGTCTCTAACCATCGGTTGCTGTCATCTCGCGGTCCCCAACCAGGTAGTCTACACCTACCAACATGACTCAGTTCACTTGTCAGTGACTTCATGGACTTGTGCCATGTTTTGGTTTGGCCGCCCCTAGCTTTCTTCCAACCTACTCCTATACCACTGAACATAGCACGTCGAAGTAGTCGGTTGTTGGGCATACGTAACACGTGTCCCAGCCATCTCAATTGATGAAGTTTCACTACTTCATCAATTGATTTGCCATCCTTACCTAGTACCCGTTTCCTAACAACTGTGTTACTTACTCGATGGTCCCATGATATACGAGCAATGTTTCGAAGACACCTATGATCGAATACTAGTAACCTACGAATATCATCTACTCTTACCGGCCATGTTTCACTGCCATAAAGTAGGACGGAACGAACTGCTGCGCAGTAAACACGTCCTTTGGTTGATAGACGGATATCTCGCCTACGCCATAAATGACGCAAGTTGGCAAAAGCTAGTCGAGCCTTCTGTATCCGTGCTGAGATTTCGTCACACACCAAACCACAAGGGCTGATGAGACTTCCAAGATAAGTGAAGCGGTCGACACACTCAACTACTTCACTCCCTATCACTAGTTCGGGTGTCGATGTAACCCAATCCTGAAGCAACATTTTGCATTTCGAGGGAGAGAATCGCATCCCGAACATGCTTGCATTGTTGCTTAGAGTGGTCAGAAGACTCTGCATTTTGTCAGCGTCTTCACCAAATAAAACTATGTCATCTGCATATTCTAAGTCAACAAGTGAACCTCCTGGTAGAAGTTCAACCCCTGTAAATTTAGATGAGGAGAGTGTTATCTCTAAAAGTACGTCAATGACAAAGTTGAACAAGAATGGGGAGAGTGGACAGCCCTGACGAACACCACTTGAGGTGATCAATTCTGATGACAGTTCGCCATAAGCTCTCACTCTACCAGTTGTGTTCGAGTAGAGAGCCTTTATAAGGTTAATGTACTTCTTTGGTACTCCTTTCAGTGACAAACACTGCCATAGAACCTCACGATCAACGGAGTCGAATGCCGCCTTAAGGTCGAGAAATACTACCATTGTGGGGCGTCTGAATGTGTGTCTCTGTTCTAGAACCTGACGTAGTGTGAATATCTGATCTATACAGCCACGTCCAGGTCGAAAACCAGCCTGGTTTTCTCTAGTCTGCTCTTCACGAGCTTTAGTTAGGCGTCGAAGTATTATTGAGGCTAATATTTTAGACACTATATTAGTCAAACTGATTCCTCTGTGATTGTCACAAGAGGACTTTTGTCCTTTCTTAAAAACTGGTTAATTCTTGAAGCTGTCATTGTTCTTCTGAATAACGTCGTCAGCACAAACTAGGTAATCTTCCGAAATAGATATGTTGTGATTCCTCTTATTACGACCCAGCTACTCTTATTGCTTAGTTTTTTTCACTCGGTATGTCCCCAGATCAGGACACGTTTGGACAGGAACGTAATTATATTTCAAATAACAAGGTTAAATGAAAGTAGGAATCAAGATAAGCAAAACGTTATTATATATATTATTATCATTATATTAGAATATTGGGGTTTCCTCCAAGTATCCGCTAGCGCTGACTGGCTAAGAAATAGCCAATCAGAATGCCCCTGCATGGAACATGCTTTAATCTAATATCTCGCTGACAAGATGGCACTCCCGATCTCATTGTATAAATTTTCTCTGTTTTCTTTTGCCTACGTTTTATTGTCATTAGGTCGCTCCGAATTGCTCTTTCTATGAATTAAAATCTCAATTGAATAATTATACAAATTGTATTTTCTTAAAGGATATTCTTACACTTATGTCCCTTATTTTTCATAGAATCTTTAAGTCCTAATAGTCCTGCTGATGAATCTACTGCATCATTGTTACATGAAAATTCGGAATTCTGCGGAGAACGTCATTCATCTAAAGTCAGCGAAAAAAGTTCATACCGACAACCTAACAAGATTGCTTGGCATGATGTCCATTTACTGTTGGATGATGTTTCTGAAGATGAAGAAAAAGATGTGATTTCGAAGTCACCAACCTCTCTTGGAAACTCCATTCCATATTCAGACCATTCCTCAGTTCCAAGGTCACCACATACAATTTCTCAGTCCTATGATCGGAACCTATCAGTTCAGAGTACTTTCTCCCGTAATATTCATAATGCAGATGATTGCATACGCTCTACCTCACCTATCGCTTACGATGAACGCAAACATCGAAATAAATACATGACATCTACTTTAGAATATAATCCAGAAAATTATGTTTCGAACTTTAAAACTGAAAGTGCAAAATTATGTTATGAACAAAAGTCTGATTCTAACGATTCATACTCAACAAATACATCTACGAATCGTACGAATCATAATCACTCTAAGTACTCAAGGTCGTCCACTTCACCCTTCTCTACTAGTCAGTTATGCGATGCGAATGACTGGTGTACAAAATCTACTGGGATGAGCTCGCGAATCGAAATATATCACAGTAGTCAATCAATAAGAAGATCCCAATCTTCGATTAAAAGTAAGGTATTTAATTAAAGATCCTCTTGTATTGTGTTCTGCGATTTTTACCGGTGAAGTTTACGAATTTTGTGTTTCCATTTAGAAATTGTCGCTGATCAATACAATTTTATTTAATTATTTTAGTTGACTATTTCTAGAATTATATCTCTACTATTTTACACTTAAGTAATTTAAAATGGGAACAATGAGTTATGTTTTGCGAGGAGAGAATGTGTATCGTAAAATAGTCTGAATATAAGGCATTTTGCTTTTTTAAATTTTCTGAATTATATATGAAAGTGTAATAGTTACAGATTTTGTATATTCTACTTAAGGGGAATGGCGAATTGTAATTCTTCGTCATTATGCCTATCAGGTATATCATACAACTATAATATGTTTCATAAATATGTCAAAGTAAGGTTCGATTCCTTGTACAACTTCAAAAAACAACCAGTTTTGAGGAAAGGCTTTATTTGAGCATCAATTAAAACTCTAGCGATCGTTCCAAACAAGTATTCACTTACGCTGACCATGTTTACTTTAAATAAAGTACTTATGAAATCATGCATTTACGGGATTTCGACCTAGTAATTTGTGTAATTTATCAACAAAGAAATGGATCCCGTTTAAATTGTATTAGATACATTGCAATAATATACAGAAATAGGTTTAAGTAACAGACTCGTTGTACAAAAATCTGCGTATTCCATTAGATGATTCGTTTAATACAATCTGATCACGTGTAATATATGAATGGTGATTAGTTACAATTACGTTTGATACCGTTCAAAACTGACACCGGTGGAAAAGTAGGTTGGACAGGTCGTAGTACGAATAGTTCAAGATTTCCTTACAGTTTAAATTCTAGATAAACTTTAAAATTTCATGTTTGTCAACTTTTCATAGTCTACGAACCCACTTAATGTATTCGCCTTTTTATAAGTTGTTACCTTGTATTGAAGTAAGTCTGTTATAATTCTATTTTCTTACGGTTAATGACCCAGCTATTCCTATTGCTTAGTATTCTCGGACACCGATTCACTCGACAAGTCCCCAAATCAGAACACGGTTGAACAGAAGCCAGTAGGAAGCACAATAGGGGAAAACGTCGGTATATTTATAGTTTTTACATAAGAAGAATCCAGAATATTCTCCAACTATCGACTAGCGCTGATTGGATAAGAATTAGCCAATCAGCGTGCACCAAAGCAATCATGCATTGAGCATGCTTTAGTCTAGTCTATGTCCCGCTAACACCTCCCCTCTGAGCAGATTCGTAGGATCTGGTGCTAGGGTCCAACTGCAACTGAGTGACTGGCTTGTGCTTTCGATTAGTCCATCGTCTAGGCAATGAAGAATTATCACTTTTTCCTTGCACAGAGACTGACATGTCTGTTCCCGGCGTTTTGATTTTTCTTAAAAAAAAGTATGCATAACTTTTAATTCTCCAACATTCTCCTCCTCCTCGAAATAATGTTGGGTCCTTATGGCTCCAAATTATAACTAGTAGGACTTTATTTAAACCATGTTTCTCGTATTGACTGGAGAATCCACTAAAAATGACTAGATGATGATGAACAACCTTTGATCTGAGTTCATTATTTTCAAATTCATTATGAATCTCGTTAGCTGATAACGAGTCATTAAGAAAGTCAACGTCTAACAGAATTAGATTAGATTTTTGGCCATCATTCGACTCAGCTGACATATTTCCCTCATTGTTATAAGAAGGTTCATCAAAATCATATGCATTATTCTGAGAATCAATATCTGGTACACTGTCATTAGAAATGGGATAAGTTGACTCAATATAAAATTCTGTCTTCCGGTGATTTTGAGTAACATCTGGTACTATTTGGTTCATCGTGTTGCTCCAGTTATTTTTTGAATACGAGTCACCATAGCTTTCTCGACTAATAGCACGTGGACCACAATTTTGTTCGAGCTGACGTTTATTTTCGCAGCTAGACAGTACCAGTAGTGTTTCATTTGATTCTGGACTCCGGGCTTCATCTACAGGACCTGACTCCTGATCATCTGGTATTGTCACAACTTCATGTGCATTCAGCACAGTATTTTCTTGCTGTGAGCCGGACACGTTACAAATATTACGTTCTGATTCAGGTATAAAGGGATTTGAACCCTCCACTAGATATGCTTCTGAAATGTCTGTTACTGCATCATAAACAGATTTCTTATTTTCTGGTCGAGTGAAAAGTGTGTTCAATAGTTGTTGTTGCAAGGCTAACAACTTCTGCTGGTGCTGTAATATTAACCGCAACTGTTCTAAAGAAATCGCCATTTTTCTTTAGTTTTTCCCCGTCGCCACTGTTATAATTCTATTTTCTTACGGTTAATGACCCAGCTATTCCTATTGCTTAGTATTCTCGGACACCGATTCACTCGACAAGTCCCCAAATCAGAACACGGTTGAACAGAAGCCAGTAGGAAGCACAATAGGGGAAAACGTCGGTATATTTATAGTTTTTACATAAGAAGAATCCAGAATATTCTCCAACTATCGACTAGCGCTGATTGGATAAGAATTAGCCAATCAGCGTGCACCAAAGCAATCATGCATTGAGCATGCTTTAGTCTAGTCTATGTCCCGCTAACAAAGTCCAGTTAGCCTTAAATCTCAGTTACATACAGCTTTTATTCCAGTTGGTGTCCAGTCTTATGATGATGATTGATGTATACTTCTATGACCTAGTAAGATTTTGTAGGTAATCAAAGTCTCATAATTTCTGATCATTTAGTAGTTGTAAGGGAAAAGAATTTATTCAAAGTAAATGTGTTTGGTCAGTAACTCATCTAGTAAGACGTACTATTGTATTCAATACTGCTAAGTGATCATAATTGATTTTGTTACTATGAAACGATTATTTCCATATATTGCTTTTGAAATAGATCAACCAGTATATAGCCCAACGAGCCACTTTGAGCGTCATCTCTCAGACACGTTTAGACAATCACATTACACGAAAAGTCCGGATATTTTTATGGATCGTCGTTTAAAATCAGATTATCCATCGAGCAGTTCTCTGTCCAATCAGTTCCGTTCATCACCAGATTCTATGGTATGTATCATTGAGAGGTCATGAAGGTTATTCAGTCTAAGTTAATAATTTAAACATTATTAAAAGTTCTGAAGGACCTCATGCCACATATTCCGAGATGATCTAGAATATTTTTATCACAGGATGAGGATCTTGAAAGTGTTGTGAAGCTTCCATTTAATGCCTCACATTTCAGCGTCCTCTCATTAGGTCGAACTCAAAGGTTGATTACAATAAATTGATTTACAAATTTCACATTCACCTTCTCTTGGTTAAGTCTTTCGTTGTACTGCAAATACTCACTAAGAGTTCTTGCTCATGGCATTTCGGTAAGGTCAAAATCCCCACTCATGCGAAATTTCCCAGCTACTATTTTATTGACGCTGCATAGACGACACCATTATAGGGCAAGGTTAGTCTACTTAAAATATTTAACTGCATCCATCCATCTATCACATTTATACTAGAAGGACGTTAAAGAAAAGTATACATCAAAATTCAACATCAGTTGCTCAATATTATCCATGTTTACAGTCCCGTAACTCGTGCAAACGAAACCTAGTCGAGAGTTCAACACATTGTGTGAAAATTATTTGCTCCAGTGATACAATTAAAGAAGAGTTACGTACTATCCGCAGCTTACTGAGCGTGAGTGCTTATCCGTTAAAATCTATTGAGAAGCACATGACCCAAGTTAGGACAAAGAAAAAACTAGTTCCTGAAAAGCCAGTATTTTTAAAGCTGTAATTCTCAAACGATACTATAATTAAATTAGTAATACAACGAGTAAGAAAATCCTTACAAAGGACGTTCGATGTGGTAAAATTGTACGCCATATTTTACAACCGACCGAGTATTAGCACAGAAAATAAGGGCAAACTTCTCCAATACCCTTCATCTATATGCGTTTGCCATTTCAACTGCTCACGTGGAGCCGGATACATTGGGCTCACGATTTGGCAAGTCTGTCACCCTGTTTTGGAATATCATCCCACCTGGGTAGGTAAAGGACAAGTATGATTGATTGATAGCTCTTTACAGGCTCATTTGATGGATACAGGACATCAAATAGCCAAAAACAACCCGTTTCAAACTATCCACTGGGTCCCACCAAATATACCGCTTGGTTTACGCATGTATTTTCCATACAGCAAGAGCCATCAGTATCTACTTTAATAAGCCTAGTCTGTGCCTCCATGAAATTTATACAATCGCACTCCTCACCTCAGCCGTCATAATTACCAATATCTAAGTGAGTTACAAATGACTTGTTAAACAATACTTCTACTGTTGTTTTTACTTAGTCTTAATATTCTCTTTATGATTACACACCTGATATTATTGTTGGACTTACCAAAAACTTTATCAGTCCTTTAATTGCATGTTCGAATTGTTTACTACGTAACTATTACTTATGGTGGACTTCTTACCAAACTTGTCAGTTCCATTATTATCAATCCCTAAACTATTTATTATTTGATTTTATATTGGCTTTATCAATAAACTTATATGTACGTTCTCTGATTGTGTGGTAGGTTGTATTTGTTTCTATAGAAACAAACGGCCTATATTTCCAAACTCCAGAAAAGTCTCTGGTAATCAAACTAAAACTTATTTTCAGGGTAGATGGCGTTTCCCAGTTCAGTTATCTATTCAAGCGTAGCCATGTCTTGTAGTTCCGACTATCTTACTTGAAACAGCATTCTCTTGATTTTACCTATTAGATTGTCCATGTTAGCTCCCTACAGTTTTGGATTTCGTCTAACCAATATAACGACTGACCTATTAGGATATGATGATAACTGTTTTCACTAGTGTAGTCCAGTAAAGTATATGTCGGTTTGCTTGAGATTTGAAATATCAACGGTAGTTTCTCTCTGAAATACTCTTTAAGAGGTTTTAATTTAGGGTCTAAAATTGTATATTGCTACATATCTGATATATTGTTACTCAACTTATGTAGCTCTACTATCAAACATACGTCGATCACTCAAATAGGACCAAAAGCAGGAATTTTACGTTAGATTCTCCATTGTTTTATTCTTGACCTTACAACAACTAGCTTACTAAGATAAATCAAACCGAAAAAAACAATATTATATACGACTGCTTAAAATACTTTATGATATCAAAATCTCATTTGTCTGTTTTGTTTAGGTTCAGACGAAGATGCGAAGTAACAAAAGTTATCCTAACATTACATCATCCTGTGAATGGGCAAGAAATGAATCACGTTCCCCTGAAGAACATTCTAGTAGATCATCCTCAATGTTCTCACAAGGTAACTGCTCATTGTCGTCAGTTTTAGAACGTGTGACACCAGAACCAACACCAACTTCCCAATACCCCAGTTCATCCACCTATAAGACTTTCGAAACAGGTAGAACATTGAGTTTCAAAATAAAACACTACTTTTTCCTCTTTATCTAATTATTATACTTTTTAAATCATTTTATATCGGTATTTTAGAAACAGTAAATGCATATTCTCCTGACTTCGCTTCTGATCGGTTAACTCGGAAACGCGAAATCGAGGCCAGATTGAAAGAGATTGAGTCAACTGAGCGGAAGCTGCTGAACTGGAAAAAAATGCAGAGTTACGGGAAAGAAGCACGATCGTTCACAAACCGTGATGATGTGGAATATGGACCAGATTATAAGAAGTAAGCACTTGATTTTAAGTGTTGAATTTCTTACATTTTATTCGTAGATATTGTTTCCAAGACAAACAGTTCAATATACAAGTTGTAGCAATGTTCGGACATTACTAAGTTACTGCATAACTTTTAGTTCATTAAAAGCTATGGTCAGTAGGATCCGCTCTCATTTTAAAGTGGTCATCTACAAAGTTCGCCATTATGTAGAGTTTGCTTATCTGGGAAATTCAGCAGAAATTTCGAGATTGGCAGCCTACGGCTGATTTTCGGTACTAAGTAGCTAATCGTTTGTGTCATCTTTATCCAGGTCCAATATTCGCATAATAAACCTGTTTTAAGATAAGCCTAATTGGTAATAAGAAAAATAATACAGTCGTGATAGATTTGTAGGTAAGCAGGATTAAACTTAACCTAAATATCGCTCATTCTGGACACGAACATGTAATTCAGATGAACTAAAGAATCTTAAAGCTCAAAATCCTGACTAAGAGAATCTCTTCCGATAATTGTAAGCTCATCGGAACAACATTTTAAACGTTACAAGGAACACAATAGACCAACAGAGATCAAATTATACTCTAGATACAAGTTCCAGCTTACTGTTTTACAACAGGCTTTTCAATATAGTTTGAGGAAATGCCTAAGGGATGAGTAATTTAAAATTTCCTAAATTTATATACTGTATTTCTTGTTAGTGACTGTGATTGTTCTAATTATAATTTTCTTTGAAATTAAAAAAAAATACTTCCATTTTTGACTTCTAACTATTTTTGTAGACTCCCGAAGAAATATACGAAGTGATTTCGGCAAGAAGAACAAACCACTAACTGATGAGTTAGCAAATAGTTCTACGCGACTGTTAATCTCAACGTTATGTCCTCAAATCAGTCCCATGAACTGTGATTATGGTGAAGTCAGTGTGCACCAGCTTGAAATGATTTATTTCGAAAGTACATGTGTTGTTTTTGCGTGCAATTTTATGATCGCTGAAAGCACATCGATTTCATGTATAGACTATAAAATCCATTTATTTGATTAGAAACTTTATTAATAATAAATTATTCTAAATTAAATATTGACAACAAATCTTCATTAAAGTGGAATAAAAGTTAGTTTAAGTATCACAAATTGCAATGTCATTTATGCTTCACTTGGCCAATTCGAGTTCCTTTTTATGTTCTGTAAAAGTAAATAATAATTTATGCTGACGTGTTAGTGTATCATCTGAACGGTACGCGAATTGAGAATGGGTATGAACAAGAATATTGTTGCTGTATAAGAATTAATATGATAAACCCACACAGACCAAAAATATCCCATCGTACTGTTAGTACAAGTTATAAACATTCCGTCAAAAATGTGCTAACATTCGCATCGATGGAATAGGCTCATTAATACCTCGTGTAACAGATCTTACTATTGAATACTTGAAAATATTGAGAGTAACGTCGACCAACAATGAAAAAAAGAAATTTACTATCACTTATTACTCAGTATCTCTAGCGAACAATGGGGAGTATCCATTGGCATTTATCGGTTAGTGACTTCGGATTAATTTCTATAATGCTTTACATATAATAACTTGCACTGTTAGCTTCCGCCAAAGTCTAACTAAACGCATATTAAGTACTGTGAACTGAAATATCTTCTAATGAAGGTACATTCTATGTGACAGCATCTGTTTGTATGAAAACGTCGAAATTTATTTAGATGAGGAATAGATAAATATCAGTTGTGTAATAAGTACTTACTTTTAATGACTGAACAAAATTTCTTATGTGTAAACCAGTGTAAACGTTGACAAGAGACTGAACAGTAAGAAGTAATTTTGCATTGTTGACATGCTTTCAACGTTCCTGGTTTTCCCAGTTCAGGACCATCTCCACATGTTGCGCACAGTTCAAGAGGACGAGCATTGTATATAATAGTACCGTTGATTGTTTTTGTAAGAACAGAGAACGCTGTTGGCATACGGCCTAAATCTAGTGGGGATATTTGTTGGACAATATGTCTCCATAGGGTCGATTGATGGTGGGGGAACGAAGTCAAGGATTGTCGTAAGAATTGCTCTTGACCTATTTGATAAGTTATGGATGCACTATTTCACACCACTTACCTAACGGCAAACCATAGGGCTCTGTACCGACTAAGAATTTTCTAATCAGTTGTTTCAATGGTGAAGAAGCACGATCTTGAATATCTGTAATTTTCGGCTCTTTGTCGTAATACTCTCCGGCTCGGCGTATACAACAGGCCAATAAATGAAGTTTTAAGGATAATGGTTCATGTGTTAAATGAGGTGTGAAATATTTGTTGCATAAATCTTCAAGAATAGTATGGATGCAACGCCAATGAGTCAACATACATTTCTCGTAATTTTCTCCTGAGCGACTACAGGTTTCGATCTCATTGTTCATTAGCAGAAAGACCTAAAATGTATAAGGGATTCCTCAATAAATATATTACCTCACAGCAAAAAAGTGAGTTAGCTGACATTTGAGTATTAGATCAAAGGATGAAAGATATTCTACAGCTTAAAAAAATAACCAGACCTAATATATTTCTCTGTAAATTTAATGAAAACATCTATGCACATTTGGGTACTTCGATTACGTGTATGGCGGCTGAACCGCATTAAGACACACTTAACAGTGATGCACATTATTTTTCACCAGTACGAAATCTTATCACTTGCTCTAAATTTTTTGTTTGTTTAAGACCATTGTAACGCTTAAATATTTCAAAGTAGCTGGGAACATTTTAGTATGATTTTCTGAATGAACCAAGTGTAGAGTATGTCTGTGTGTCTAAAACACTCAGTACTTGTCGACCAGCGATGTCTACTCAAACGAAGGATAAGTTACCTGAGTTGGCCTCTTCCATGTGTATTTACAAATTCAGCTACTCATGTGGAGATAGCTATATAGGGCGTACTACCAGGTAACTTAACCAACGAATGAGTGAACATCTACCAACTTGGTACATAAAGGGCCAGATAAAATCTATTCGCAGTTCTATATTGGCACATCTTATTGATAGCGGTCATGCTATAGATAAATCGAAATCATTTCGAGTTATCTATCGTATACCTCCATCATTTCCCGACGGAGTCCGTTCCCGTCTCCTATATATAGCCGAAGCCATTAGAATTCGTACATATAACCCCAATTTATGTGTACAGAAGAAATACGTGGCCCCCCTATCCCTTCCATGGCCGGTTATAACTTAACTAACAATTATTTATTTATTTATTTTAAATTTTATTATTATCATTATTTATTTTATTCTATTTGTGTTATCATTAACCTTATTTTCACATCTAGTATTTGTTTGTAATTTTCCGCCTCTTCGTATTCTTCACTATCTAATTATTTACACACATCTTATTGCGTAATGATTTTAATGTTTTGTGATTACTATTCCTAGTCTATTTACCTATGTTTGACCTTCTACTCCCAACGTTTAACTATTGATAAGAGTTTTGTTATTGTAGTTTATTATTCTTACCACTATCTGTTCACCTGTCTTCGTACTATCAACTTGTAGTTTTACCTATTATGTGTAGTGACTTATTCTATTTCATTGTGATTATTGACCCATATTGCCTTGATTGGTTTAAAATTTTCGTATAAATATTCATGTATATTAGAGTAAAGCCTGATGACGATCTAATTGAAAACAATTGTTCGCTTATATGTGTTGTTGTAATAAGATAATCTTCGTCTTCTTATTACACTATAAAAATAATGTTTATTATTTTGATAATTCATTAAAACCGATTTTGTAGTAACATTTAGACTTTTTTTCGCGAATAACCTCGACATAACTGACATACGGTGAAGAATTAACCTGTTTACATTCAAACCAATTTAATTTATTAAAAATTACTTTCTAGGCTCTTTTATTTTGAGGGGTGTCTTAACAACTGTATGCAGTTCACATTACTTGTCAGGCTTTTTCAAATACACATTAAATGCTCCAACTTTCAGGCTACATACGAAAGTGTACTTAGTTTTATTATCTTATGCTATATATAGTGGCATCAACTGTAAACGACCAAGGGAGTGCCGGACTCGAAATATATCTGGATGGAATAAGTATGTATAACAAACTTTAGTTGTAGGTAATTCACCCACGGAATTGAGTTTTGTAAAAGCACTATCTGATACAACGTCCGACCTTAAAGGAAAGAAAGTAAATCTATACGTGGTGGGTAACATATGAAGCCAAATTAAAATTACTTTTGACCACAAACACGTTAGAATGCATTGAGCATTCACGTACGTACAAATTGAACCTGAAGTTATAAATTGGCAGTATCCCGATCATAAATAAATGATGAAGTCTTCCACACGATATCTGATAGATTTGATCAACTACTTTAGAAAGGAAAGTGGAGTGATAAAATTGTCAGATTATGAGTCCCTTATCAATGAAATTTTTGAGTCTTTATTTTTGGCTAATCAATCACATCAGCATCCTATGATGTGGACACACAATCGGTTAACACAGGTTGCTTAATCAGGAAATGATAAAGATGTATATTTTTGACTTGTATACACGTCTACTCAAATATATCCTACATAATGACCAATTTCGGGTTTATGTGAAGGCAACTGTTATGAACAGCTTTTTTTACTTTTTTGATCATTTAGTTTGGTAAATCCGAGGTGTTTTTCCACTAAACCTTAAGTTTTACGTAATTTGTCGTTAACCTAATGATACACTTGATGTAAAAGCTAAGATGTGAACTGTATGAAACTTCATTTGCGAATATGTAGAACATAGCTTTAAGAGGTAGTGATCGCCATCTCACATCGATTTTCGGCAGTTGCACACCGAAAATTTACAAATAGAAGTACGATGACCTTAGTACATAAACAGGGCGAAAGACGGAATGGACAAATTATAGTCAAATGGCAAAAATAAAAGGATTTAGGCATTGTTTTACTGAGACGCATACGTATACTGCGGGGATATTATGGTTATCAATGGAACAACAGCTACTCACATATAGATATGTAACATACTTTAACAGGTGAAATATTTAGCTGCAAAACTAGTTTGTGAATCGTAGATACATGTTCAGGCAATAATTGTGACTTCGACACGTAAACGGCTATTTCTTCTCTTTCCAGATAGTTATTAATAAGAGTGACGACGTTATGATTCCCTCGTTTATTATTACAGGTAAGTTTGAATACCTACCTACAAATGCGGCCATTTGAGAGGCGGTCCTACCGATACTGTTTACATCATTTATTCGAGCCCCATAATGAAGAAGAAGTTCAACAACCTCAATGTTTCCTACAAAATTGTAGAGATAAAGTAACAAACCTGAAAGACCAGCAAACATTAGGGCAGTATAACCCTGTTTGTGAGAAGAAGAATTTACATTTGCGCCATATTTGAGAAGAAACTCAACGACCGGAAGGTTTCCCCGGAAACAAGCCAACTGCAGTGGAGATAAGCCCTCCTATTCAGATTAGTCTAGAAATCCAATTATTCACTTTGTCATAGGAGTTGATTAGTGACCTATCCTCTGAAAGGAGAGATTTAACCTTTTCTATGTCCGCTGCCACAAATGAAAATGACAAGAAAAACTTACATGTGGAAATCGCAGCTCGAAAAGAGTCGAGTATTTCTTCCGAACTCTTTAAAGTACAGTAACACAGAAAGAACTTACCATAACTTTGTTGCACTTCTAAATATTAGACAGCAATTGCGTATGCTTAATCATATATTTGGTCTAACCTATAAATATAAAACCGTAGAGATAAAATAAAATATATGTGAAAGAT